CGAGTATTGAAAGAAGATCAAGACAGAGAACAATCTCTCAAACTTCATGGGACAGGAAACACCTCAAGAGTGGAGGGCATAACCGCTCTACTTCCACCAGGACATTCCAAAGAATATCACAGCATCTCCTAATCCCTTTGATCCCCAAGCACAATAAATGTAGATCCACCAAATTCAACAGCTCCACCTCCAATATAGAGAGATCTACACGAGATCTACCATAATAGCAGTAGATCTAGCAAGATCATCCAAAAACCAGCCACAAAAGATTGTAATACAAACCCTAAAGAAAAAGGAAAGAAATCAAAACCTTGCAAAAGCAAGGAGTAGACAAAACCCAACAAAAGCTGGGAGGGAAAACTCTCCACAACATAACGGGGGGGAGAGAGACCCGGATTATTAACCGAAGGGGGTGGTTCCAGGGGAGAACCCCTGGAACCAAGGAGAATTTCAGATCTGGAGTTGGTTTTGGGTTGGGGGAGAAAAAGAGTCAAGAAGAAGAAAAGTCGAGAGTTTTAGATAAGAATAATTACTCTCATAAGCATTTCAAAACCATAGTTATGACAATATAATAATTCCATAGTCCCAAAATATCCATATCCTTCAAATATCAAATTAAAATCCGATAATCCCATAACATAATCTCATAAAATCATAATCCAAACGCACAATCTAAATACTTTATATCTAACAATAAGTTCTAGTAATCCCATAAGATACTATAAAGCCATAGTTAAAATATATATCAAATCCCATAATCCCAATAAACCAAATAAACCAAGTTCTAAATCAAATCTCATTTATGCATGCAATTCCATTTTGGAAAAATAATGCTCATTTAAAACAATGTCCACTTACTACAGGTCCAACGCTACTCAATCTTGAGAGAGCTCTTCCTCTGGAATACGCGAAGGAAGAGTACCTATTCGAGAGAATAAATGGGCTTAATTAATAAACGTACCCAACTACGAATTTTAACTCAAAACTCAAGTTCTCGAGTCTCAAAGTGTGCACAACCTTTACGAAGGTTTATAGGGTCATCCTAGTACTTCCCAAAGGATGAGACAGTCTCGGAAGACTCATGGTCAACTAAGTGGTCAAACATTCCATATGGGTCAATCGGGCCCCCGGGCCTATGACCTCTGATTTTTTATTCAAAAGTTCATATAGGTGCCACAAAGTCTACTAAACAAGTCCCGAAGGTTTGGTCTCGATTGAACTGTCGGATCTAAGCCAATCGCACAATCAGACAGTGATCGATTCGTTTAACCTTGGAATCATTGACTCGGAGTATCCGAGACTTCGATTCTTGATCCGCAAGATCTTACACGATCCTAGAGGTATAAGGAACAACATATTTGAAATTGGGGTTGATCAAACGGTCCAAACCCATTGAACCCAAATATCACATAATAGGTGCAATATATGTTCGACTGTTAAACGGTAACCAATTCCAAATTTGAGCATACCGTCGTGCTTAGGATGACAAGGGTATCATTTTAGAACCTAATGGGTGCCACAAAGTGGTCCACGTGCTACCACCCGCTGCAGGCAGCGCGTTGGTGCCTTAAGTAATTTCCGGCAACCGAAAAACTCCAAATCGCCGGTCAATGCCCATACCATTAGAATCAAACTACCTAGGGGATCAAATTTTGTTCTTGGACCACAACCAAAAACTGACTGGAACTAGGCAGATCAAAGCCGAAATCGTCGGCATAATTGGGGGTTAGAAATTGATCTCTAAAACCTCAAAATTAACCCAAACCAAGCACATAAATAGGTAGAACACAATGAGAGGATGAAGTTTCATACCTGGTTCGACGATTTTGGCAGTTGAAATTGTCTGAAATTGCACGAACACTGCTAGTGACGAAAGAGGGTTTCGGCTAAGGTTTCAGTCCAAAATCGCAACCAATATTGGAGTTTCAAAGGTGAAAATGGGTATAGACGTGTATAGGAGGAAGAGACGAAAGTTTTGTGAGGCGTGGCGTCGCCGGCCGTGACCAGAAGGAGGAGAAAACGCCGAGCAAAATGGCCGGTCTATTTTCGTGAAGGAGAGATAGAGACAGAGAGACAGAGACAGAGAGAGTCGGGAGAGGAGAGAGAGAAAATGAGAGAGAGAGAGAGTGAGAGAGAGAGAAGCTGCCCATATTTATGATTGTGCAACTGCACTTCCGTAGATCATAACTTCTTCTTTAAAACTCCGGTTTGAGCCCACTATGTGTCTACAAACTAGAGAGAGCGAGCTCTATGCAACGGTGCCACTTAATTCCCCCAAATCCTTTCGAAACAAAAAGTGACTAAAGTGCCCCTACTCTCGAGGGTAAAAATGTCATTGTGCAAATAAAATAAATTGAATAAGACGATTCAATTGGGTCGGGGTGTTACAATAAAATTATGTATTATTTTTCACTATAACAATATATAATTTAATAGAATTTTCAATCAATGTCAGTGTAGTTTCGTGGATAGTATATGTAGTAGTATGATTTGATTAGTTTAATCAAATTGTATTGCTTGGTAATCAAATGTAAACAAGGGATTCTCTCTTGCTAGCGAGGAGAGACAAAAGCTAGGGTTAGGGTTTGGTCTATGCGCCGTCACCTCCTCTTTAGTTTTGTCCGCCTTCCTCAGTCGGTCTCTTTGCCCTCGCGCCTACGACCTCGCCTTCCAACTTCATCATTCCTGTCGCCTTCATCACTTCCTTTCGCTCGCTCTCTCTGCAACAATGCCCTCGACTTATCATTCTTACTTGCGTCGTTGTCGTGCGCCCTCGTCTTTCTGTGTCATCGTCGACCCTCTTCCTTAACCTTCTCTGCATATCGGGTTTTGGATTTTAGGGTTTTTGCGACCTATTTTCTTTTTAGGGGTTTAAGCCATTGTCATGTCCTCCTCGGTTATTGCTCTCGATGAATCTGTTGATGAGATTGAACGCTCTTTTGGAAGTCGCATGGTTCTTACATGATGTGAACTCGCTGGTGTGGTCATTGGGTCCTTTGATGTCTCTAATCACTTTATTGGTTTTATCTTTAGTCTCGTGGCCCAAGTTCTTGCAAACCAACCTAATAACTGAAGTGTTTCTAGTTCTTTTAGCATCAAGCGCAAGAGCTCTGTGAAAGCTTCCATTGATAGTGAGGTTTTGACTCATGGAGTGGATGTAGTGGCTCCTAAGCAGTGGTACCTGTGATCTTCTGCCTATGAAGACCGGTCTCTTGGGGTCTCTTAGGAACTTCCCTTAAGCTATTCAGACAAGCATTTCTCGACTTGGCATCGTGCGAATGCATTGCTGATATCTGCTTCAGGTTAAGTGGCTCAGGCTAGGTTTGTCTTCTTGTTGCCTGTTCTCCCTCTGTCATCTCCTTCCTAGCATACCAATGCGACTTTGACTGCCTTATGAACAATATCTTCATATGAGGTTTTCTTTGTCAGTGTGAAGAAGTTTGAGTGTGTTTTTTTGGATTTTCTTTTCTCTAGCATGCTTATTGTGTTTTGTTCGATGTCTTGTTCTCTGGTGTCTCTGTCTGCCTCAGATCCTGGGTCGAGATACTTTACCTTTGTTGTTGTATGAAGGACTATGACTTCATAATGGTGTTACTGTGCTTTTGAAGTCGGTTTCCCTATTGGGTTTTCCTGTTTTTTGTTTAGCAAGCAGTCCAGCATGACCTGATTAGGACTCTCTTATTAGTCCTTGACATGTGCGGTACTCTTTCCTCGCCTGGGTTTTCTTAGGAAGGTTTTAATGAGACTACTGTTTCGTGTCATTATATGTACGTTCTTGATATTATGAATGAACATTTTCTTCTAAAAAAAAACAAATATAATTTAATAAATGGGCTTTAAACAGGCTGGTCGGTTGGGTTTCGGTTTGGCACGGTCCATGACGGGTCTCGATTGGCTCGATCTATCGGGTCGAATTACCTCGTCTCGGCTCGTCCAAAGATACAAGTCGTGCCATGTCAAACTTTACTTAATCGAGCCGTACTTATGCTGTGTTCAGGCGGACCTGATCTGTTTGACACCTCTACTTGTAGCCTAAACTGACATGCATCCAACTAAATTAAAAAGAGAGCTAACACCGACTTCCATTCCTTTCCTCCAACATTCCAGTTATGGACTCCCCATATTAATTTCAACATGCCATCTACAGCTAGAGATGAAAGATATTCAAAATGGCCTTAATGACAAGTTTGTATACATCAACAAATTAACATCTCACAATTGGAGCAAAAATCTGATTTACATCCCAATTTTACATCTCCTCATTAGAGATGCTCTAATGGTCCCTCTTTTCTCAATATTGAAAGACATGTCCTTACATTATTTTTGTATGTAATTGGGCTCAATCATTATAAAAAAATATTGGGCTCAATTCTAAATCGTAAAATAGTTGAGACATTTGCAAACATTGAGAAAAGAAATACCCTTAAAATCGCACTCCATAGTTGATTAATTTAGGGCTCGTTTAGAATAACTTCTTTAGAAAGTATTTCTGCTCATAAATACTTCCGGCAAAAGCACTTTTATTATAAAAATGTATAAAGCTTATAAAAAGAAAAAATCCGGAGTGCTTCCTGCTTCCTGAATAAGCACATAACAAATGATTATTTAGAAAGCGCTTCTAAACTTTTCTGCCAAACATTATTAGAAGTGCTTTTGATTGTCATCAAATGCTTTTGATCCTTTCAAAAGCACTCTCAAATAGGCCGTTAGTTCCAATTTAAGCGAAAACAATCCAAAACTAGATCGAACCCACAGCTTAAAACTCCCAAAAATCTAAAATGTAGACCCTTAAATATTTTATTGCAACTTTATGGTCAAAAGGGGTTGATACTAGAGATAGTTGATATCATCCGAACGCTCATGCGTTGCCCGATATATATCAACGGACCCCACCGATTCTAATCCACTTGTTCTCCACTTACCCCTTCGGAGTTGGCCACAATTCAACAGATTATTGGTTACGCTAACTGGCAACTCTAGCAGTACCCAATCAAAAGCGCACACGAAGTCTAGTCTTCCTGCACCCAACCATACCTGATCTCTTCCCTCACTCTCTCCCTCAACCTCTCTCTCTCTCTCTCTCTCTCTCTCTCTCTCTCTCTCTCTCTCTCTCTCTCTCTCTCTCTCTCATTATTCATTTCTGGAAGATCTGCAACTCACAAATCTGTCTATAGAAAACTCTGCGTTTTGCTGCCTCTCGAAAAAACCATGAGCGACCCAATTGAGCCCTCAACGTCGTCGTCTTCCACCAAAGACCCGGCCCTTCTGATTCACCCGAGGCGCGAGCCATTCGAGCACGGGCTTTTGCCCATCCCTAAGCTCATCTTCACAGACCCGACGCAAACCCTAATTCCCCTGAAGCAGAAGCTGATCGAGCAGTCTTCGAGTCACCGGGTCAACTCGGCCGCGATCTCCGAGGTGCTTCAGATCTCCATTGATCATGCCAGGCTCGTCCTCGATACCCTTGCCTCTGTTCTCCAATCGGAGTCCGACCCGCTCCTCAAATCCAAGCCGGACGTGGTTGATGAGGTCGGCGCCGATGTGAATGATCTGGTTCTGTTCCTCTACATTCAGTCGTACAAGAAGTTGCTGCCGAGGACGCACAAGGACTCGGCTGCCGTCGCAGATGTTTGGCCTTCGACCTCGGCTTTCGATGGGTATTTGTCCGCTTTATCGCCATTGCAGGTGATAAGTCGTTCCTGAATTAATATTTTTTCTTTTTGTTTTTTGGTGGTCCATTGTGCAAGCAATGCTGGTGTTATTTTAGATTACAGTGGTGAATTTGGGACGGTATGATAAGTTTGGGGCAAATTGAAATGGGTTTGCCGCGATTCATTGCTTAGTTTGGCCGTTGGTTTTGGAATTTGTATAAAATTTGATTAGTTACAAGAGGTTGGTGATTTTGTTGAAGGCGTTGGTTTCTTTGAAGTGGGGTTGTAGCCTTGTGAATTGGGTTTATTCAGATCAATTGGTTGACTTTGTATGTGTTTATTTGTTGGTGTGAAAATATTGTTTGGATGGAATACAATGTGGATTAGAATGAGGGTTTTTATTTGAATTTGGTATGATCTCTTGGTTTATGTAACCTTTTTGCTCATATTAGTTTATCTTATATTAATTTTCATGGGAGCTGGTTGAACATTATGATCAATTGTGTGCATAGAGTCAGTGTTTTAAATAGCGGATCGAGCTTCATAAGCGTTGCATAAATTTTTTCCAACATAGCAGACTATCATCGTGAAAGTATCAAATGGCTGTCGCTATATGACCGTCACTTTAAGAAAACAAACCCTGAACCTCAAATTTACCAAAAAATTGACACAAATCCATAAAATGCCATACTTTGATGTTTCGAGTCAATAGATGTTGCTTCTTCTCTGTGTTGTGACTTGGGGTACTACTTGAACAGGATTTTCAGCAAACACATGTGTTTATTCATCTTTTATTTATTTATTATTATTTAAATTTTCTGTTTTGTGGTTGTATGTTTTGGACAATTTCATAAATTGAATCTTTGGTAATTTCATAAGTTCTTATGTATATTCCGTAATTTATTCGAATCAGTTCGTTTATATTCAATTATTCAATGAAGTTGTTTATTTGTAATTTAGAGGAGAATGTTGATCATGTGACATTTTATTGATCAACTATTGTGATGGAATGATATTTAGACTTTTTGGGTGGCCTTTTTTTATTGTCTATATTATTATTTTAGCTATAATATTTCTAGTCCCAAATAGCTTACGTGACAACGCATCAATGCTTACGCTATAGCTTACATAATTTGCGACACAATACGCAATCACGATTTAAAAAAAAACCTAAGGAACTCACATGGGTTGCAACAATTTGTTGCCTTCTTTTCTATGTCTATTGGATTGAGTGGAACTTAAAAGCAAAATTGCAAGCACCGAATGTCGCGCTGTAGTGAGCGGACCTCCTAGTTTTATCATGTAGGATGTGCATATTTGGATTCCTTCGGCATGGCAGTGGTACATTGTTGCTGCCTTTGTTTCATTAGATTTATGTACTCGTAATGTTTCACAATGCAACTTATGTGGTTGATTCTAAACTGTTAGAACAAGGTTTTTGTTGAGTTAGTTTCATTCAGATGAATTCCTGTAGTATATAGTACAACATTTTTTATATCTAGATACTATATAATTCATTACTGTCTTTGTACTGAAATTGTTCTTTTCTCATATTTAGTTTCTTGTTACTGTCATTTGAGACAATTTTTTGTGTTGAATTAAACTTATATCAACCTTGGAATGCGAACACATGGCAGCTTGTGCGTAGCAATAGCCGTCGGTTTGTGCCATCACAGGCTGATGAAGAGGCCCATCAGTTGTCATATCTGCAAAAGCATTTGGCCAACATTGTCTCTCTTTTAGCAGAACCTGTGGAGGGGGAAGGCGAAGAATCTCTGGTTTGTGGAATTAATACTTAGTTTCTTTCTTTGAATTAAATTCACACCTTTGTTATTCTGGCTACCACAAAGTGAATCATACACGTTAGAAGTAATGGTAACATTTCTCTTTCCTTTTGCCTGATAGTCCTTTGTCCAATTTGATAGAAAAAGTTTCTTCCCACTGTGAGCACCACCCCATCCTTTAATTCATGTTTTGGCGTGTCATGACTCAAGAGTTAAACACCAATTATAGCCTCATATGCATTTGTGTTTGTGGAAAGTGATTTCTCCATGCTAAGTCTTGAGGCATGAACCTTACATTCCCCTTTCATGCTATGTACTGAACATTGGTTATCATTCATCTCACCTAAGGCAAAGTAGGACATATTTAAGGTTAATGAAAATGGAATTGTAATTTAGTTCATCCAATACATCGTTAAGATATTGCTGCCATTTACAGTCACAAAAAAAAAAGGACATACATTTCCTTTTCTTTTGTTCTTTTATGCGGCCATTGCACCTGGTAGAGTATGCACTGGCGGAACAGTTAATCTAGATGACAATAAGTTGGGCCATAACCACCTATGTTCGTAGTTGGGACTACCTACTGTGGTGATTGCATAACGTGATATCCAATGTTTCAGGATTTTCATCAGACCTACCTTTGATTTGCACCAACCAAGTATCGTAGGTAGTTTTTTGTCAATTGAGAAAAGAAAAGCCCTTACAGGAATTTGTCTCGTATGCGACTCTCAATCATTTCAATATAATTTCATATACGAGTTCTTATGTTATTAGCATTATGGAATATTATAATTGTCCTTTCTTGTTAGTATCTGCCTAGCCTACTTGTAATTATCTGATTTAACCCTATGGTTTTAGGTTTTGACCATGGAGAAATTTGAGCACCTTGGCTTTCTGTTTTACTTTGGTGATAAAGGATCTGAAGGATATCACTTGGGCCAATATGCCCCTTTTTTTGCAAATTCGGATCCTGATATGCCTGCTGTTCCTGTTCCTGCTGCACAAGTTCATGATTGGGTTCTGCAGAATATAGTTTCTTCGTTGGAAAATATTTCTGAAAGAATTTCTCCGAAAGAAAATGGCCCACCCAGTTCCTCAGATCAAGATGTTCCCATGGCTGATGCCTGCACGAGTACAAACAAGGGCTCAATAAGTGTTAGAGGTCCAAGTTTTATTGAAGGGATCTCCAAGTCATCACTTATAAAGCAAGCATCTGATCTTAAAGGCTCATCTGTAAAGGTTTGTTTATAAGGCATATTATACTTTTTCTTTTAATTAATACATAAAATGTAATGCCCATTTGTTTTCCGATGTCTACATTTAGGCGATCATTTGTATTTAAATGCTTATCAAGAACTGCAGAACCAGAAGGAATAAAATGGAGAAAATAACCCTTTTTTTTCCTAACAAGAAAAATCAAACTCATTTTTAGGAGAAAATTCTATTTGTTATGTCAAACGATTATCAAGGTATGAGTTGTATGTAATGATTGCATGTTGCATGTCACCATGGGGATTCATTCTTGGTCACTCATGGTTTTGGGCTGTGCTAATGCCCATGCTATGCTTCTGTGTGTGATGGATATAGAAGCTTGAAAGGTTTTGCCAATGTTATGCTTGCAAATTTTTGTTTCCAAATTGACTAAGTTATTTGGAATTATTTTATAGATGCATTTGCTTCACCTTTCTTCAAGTCTGTTGTGTATAGGGAGGTAGCTTGTCATTCAAGTTGATCCTAATCTTAATTATCAGGCTCAGTGAAATGATTTTGAGCCTCATTGTAGCATATTGGAGGGAAGCTAATGCACTTTTTTAATGACAGCATTCTTGTTATGATTTTCTCAATATGTTCTCCTTCATGATGTGTGCAAAAATTGTGAACTGAGATTGTAATAGGTTTATCAGCTTGCTATTTTTTATTTATGGAATTTATCGGTTTGCTATTAATTTGTTTACAATTGCAGGTTTTAAATTGCCACGATTCAGTTATCTACATATTAGCACCTCTGAGATATGCCACAGTTTATGGATGCTCCGATGCTACTATTGTTCTTGGAGCTGTTGGAAAGGTAACACCAAAGGGATTTGTGTTTGTGCTTTGAATTATTGACTGTTGCAATGGTTCTGTTGCTGGAAAATCATCTAAGTTTTCTTTTTAAGCCCTTACCTATCTCTCTAATGACTTATTACTGTAATGTGAAGTGATCAACCTGGTAATTACTGTTTTGTATGCAA